TATAGAATATATAAAAGAATATAATCTACAATGGTTTTTTAATCTTTTTTTTCCCCTCTATTTATATCTTTATAAAAAAACACCATAAAATACACCTGGCGAACAAGGAATGCTCCATGACAAACTTACTTCACCAGTACACACTCCTACGATTGCTGTTTATTTGATGATCAAGCAATAAGCAAAGGAAAACTCTTTTCCCAGGAGGTGAGAAAGATCTACATGCCACACAATGTCTGCTGGAGACAAACCTGCAGTTTTCAGTCTCACAACAGAGACATCAACCCAGGGAGGACAGTCACCATCCACCTGCACACCCACCTTGCTCCAACAGACACCAGAACCACGCTGTCCAGGTTGAGCTTACACCACTCCTCCACGTCATGGGCGAAGGTGGCGCTGAACAAGGCTCGTCTCACCACATGGGACGTGCACGCCAGGAAGATGGAGGCCAGTTGCTCCCGGAACCCCGACTTCCCATCCTCAAAGAGCTTGTCCGACTCATCCACCACCAGCCACTCCACACTGGGAACAGAGAGGTTTGCTTTTCAGCACGAGTCACTTGAGGAGAAGGCAGAAGTTCTAAGAGGCCCATCTCAGATGCAAGGGCTACGCAAACCTTCAGTGTCAAAGGTAGTAGCAAAACCAGATCTGAGCAAGACCCCAAGTACCTGGTCAAGTCTATTGCTGGAGGATCTTGCTTCAGCAAATAAATGAGTCTGTTTGGAGTAGTAACCAGTATATCTACGGGAAGAAAGGAGAAAAGAGGCAAAACGTTGAAAAAGACACAAAATAAACCAGACTAAGAGAGCCCTCAGAAACATAATTCCAACCCAATCTGCCAGAGGTGGACTTTCAGTCTCAATCCTATTTCTTCCACACTAACTCCTTTTTTAGTGTTGAGCAATACATCATACATCTCAAGTGGTTTGAACTGAGCTCTTCAAAACCACACAGGCCAGAAGAGAAGAGAAAGGTCAGGGACATTTTTTCAGTTTTCAGAAGCACTTCAGTAATTACAACAATTACCAAATTTCTTCGAAGATTTGGGCCCAAACTTCTTCTCTGCTTCAGCTGCCTTGTGGATCATGTGTATCCTGAAGCCTGTCCCCTCAGCCAATTTCACCAGCTCCCGATGTGTCTGGGGAGGCAGCAACAGAGATTAAATAATCTATTTTCAAACTGAGCTGGTTGGGTTGGAAAGGACCTTAAGATCCTATAGTTCCAATCCCCCTCCATGGGCAATCCAATTTCAGTGCTGAAAGCTGTCTGGTTGCCTTAGCATAATCAAATGCTGCTTTCTAACACTTAGTATTCACTTGAAAGTTCTCACAGGCCTGACTATCACATTTTGACTCTAGTTACGCTGCTCCAACAAGGCCATTTGAATATACATGGAAGTCTGCCCAAATTGTCATTTTCATGTCAGTTTACTAACAAAGCTTCAATATGAAGTTATTGAAATTCTGTGTTTAGGACAAACAGATAAATCTCTTGTAGAGAATATGAAAGCAGGGATTAAGAGCACCCAAGCACTGGGCAGTTTTACATGTGATCAGAGTATCTTGAACCTCTAACCTACTCATTCAGATTAGACCAAGACACTAGATATGTAGCTACTTCACAGAAGAATAAACGCTTAAAAGAAATGTTTAAATTAGCTTTTTCTGGTATTTTTCTGGTATCTCAGAGTAATAAAGGAAAAAAACCTATTTACTATTCTACTGGTTCAGAGTGAAAACTTTGAAGTCCACCAATACGACACCCCTTTCCCCCCAACACCCACCTGGCTAGCAAGTTCCCGGGTGGGCGATATGATCAGAGCTCTGAATCCTTTGTTCCTGGGTCGTTTCAGGTGTGTTAAGAGAGGAATACAAAATGCCAGTGTTTTTCCAGACCCAGTAGGAGCTGAAGCCAGAAGTTCCCGGCCCTGTAAGGAAAACAAGAAGGGTCTTTTTCACTAGGGGGGGAAAAAAAAACCCAACACAAAACCACCCCTAAACAAAACAGAAAACACCCCAAAAGTCACATTTACGTAAATATTAATGCCATTAAGTAACCCAAAATACATCATTAAAAGCACAGCTCAAGAACATTGCTATACAAGCTTTGCCATACTCTAATCAAATGCAGCATCAGAAAAGCTTACGTGAAGCATGACGGGAATCGCCTGCATCTGGATGGGGGTTGGCACCCGGAAACCAGCAGCCTGAATATTCTCCATGATTTTGGGGTGGATTTTGTATTCCTTCTGAAGCTGATCAAATGTGGCAATCGGGTCAGGAAGATCTGTTCCTTGGACACTAATCTTGTGTTGATTTCTGAAGTGGTTTATCTAAAAGACAAAACACAAACTCATTCTTGCTTTCTCTAACAGCATAAAACTACATGCATATGGATTCACCTTCTGGTTACTCTCCCCAACCCCAGTCACCCTCCTCCCAAGAGAAATTTCCATAGATGAACCTCAATTTTCAGTCGAAAAGCCCACAGAATCCAAGTAATCTCTTGCTTCATTTGAACCCCATAGTTCTACCTTTTGCCTTCTCAAGCGTTCAAGTTTTTCTGCAGTAGGTTTTTTGTCTTTTGCATCGTTGTATTTTGCTTCCAGAGAGGACATCCACTTTATCCCATTACTTTCTGACAACTCTGGTATTCCTCCTGCAGGTTCCAAAAAAATGGATCTTTCCATTAGTAAAATCCAGACAAACATCATTTGGTAGAAAAGGACACTGGAAAGCCTTTTTTCTCTCGTTCTCACTAAAGCTAATGAAGACTCCAGAAAGATGACAGCCACATCCCTGTGCCTTAATACCAAATCATGGAATGGTTCGGGTTGGAAAGG